CACAAACACTTAAATCGTACTGTGGTACTATCATAGAGCCTGGGTTACCTGTGGGCAAACACAAAAGTGAAGAGCCGTGAAGTCACTGAACGAAACTCATGGAAAACACCTTTTCTCAGACTTCGCGAGGACGGCAGGGCAAGAGAGTGTGCTGGCTTGCCTGATCATGGTTTACTAAGCAAGGAATCCATGATACTGGAGTGTCTGAAGACCTTTAGTTTTATTTTTAGATCACTTTTGACCAAAAATGTGAAAGTAACCCTGAGATGACCCCTTCAGTTGACAGCAGTCATCGGGGAAAATGATTTGCCTTACTGTTCCATGTTAAATCTGTAATGATTACATTTCACATTACAGAAATACAGCTGAAAGAATTGCACGAATGATACACTGCATATCTTCAACTGAGAAGTGTAGTCTACTTGTTTAAAACTAACCAGCCTCTGAAATGATGACTTCTTTTTTTTTGTCAAACGACAGATTTCTTCTTAAAATATTTGGTGAAATCGGTATTCCAGGAAGAGCTGACAGTTTTGAATTTGAAGTTGTCGATATATGAAAATCATGTATGTGAACTGCGGAGTGAAGGAAGATCATCGCAGTTATATACACAAGTTTTGCAGTTGCGAAAAGAAAGCCTGAAAAAAAAACCTGAATCTTTTTCAGGCTTTCTTTTCCCAACTGCAAAAGTTGCCTGTATAACAGCGATGATCTTCCTTCATGTAGTTTTGAATTTATTGCCTGCAGTAGAGAATCAGAATTGGCACTGGCCAGGGCCCGCTCGATGTGACCTATTACTCATCATTAACAAGCTCTTTCGCGATCCTACGCCATATATTAGGAAAAGTCCATCTTTACAAAATAATGTTGCAACTGAACGTGCAGCAAGTTCATCACAAGGATAGATAAATTTAACATGAATTGTCCTTTAATTTGGGTATAAAGTCGAAGAACTGTGTGGGTAAAGAAACTGGTAACATAACTAAATAAATGCTTTTTCTTGAGTAATGACTCGTCCAATTTTTTATCCGCAACTTTTTATCATTTGAAGTGGATAAAATTTAGTCCGTTAATCAAAGTGACGTTTGCTGCAGACGTTATCAACTAAGCGTTATTACTCATTCGTGGAATGACAACTACCGAGTTCAACATCAGTGATTATTATATTAAGAAACGCCACTATGCGTTATATCGATAACGTATCCAAATACTGTAAATTTTCTAAAGTAAACTTAGTTCGGGCTTTGAGTAATTAATTTACAAAGTGTTCTGCCAAACGTAGAAATATCAAAACTTCATAGTACGTTGCTCTGCAGTTAGACTTTTACTGAATACAAAAACACTAAGCTTCATAATGGTTTCCATATCTGGAGCTGTCCTATTTCTACCGGCCTAGCATGTTTTTCTTAAACACAAAATTCGAACTCCAACGGTAATGCTAAAACAGGAGTCAACATAGTTTTCTAGGTTGTTGTATTTACAGGCGCTGTTCTTGTAGTGTTGGTATTCTCTCCTTCATACCCCGGAACGGCTCGATTTTGCAAAGGCGTTACTCGATTGTGTCTTAGAGAAATACTGCAACGACGGCGAGAGCGACTATGGACGAATTTAGACCACAGCAGAGAAGCACCGTGGCGAAAAGTCTCATTAAAAACAAAATAAATGCACGGATTGATCGCACTTTTGCTGTAAGCCAAGAACCAGACAACGAAGTTGATGTGTAACGACTGGCAAATGCTGTTGGTAAAATTTTGAAAGCAGACCATAGATTCAATCCAAATGGGAAGCCAGCAAATTGCAAACAGCAGCACAATTGCGATGAGCATTCCTATTATTCTGCGGTTCATCTTCTCAGTGTGATAGTGATGGTGATTGGGAATATGAAGCTCATTCCCCGGTGTCTCTCTCAAACACAGTTTCAATATCACTGCCACATACAACACTCCTTGAATCACCAAAGGGGTGCATTTGAATAACACGAATATTGCAATGAAGTAGTTTTCTATAGATTTCGATTTCCAGAAAGTCAGAAAGCACACGCTAGTGCCCCTTAGTTCTTGGACATCGGCTATGAAAACCATTGGGATTGTAAAGGCAGCGGACGTGATCCATATCACCGTTATTATCGAGTACGCGCCATGACGCCCAATGATTCTCTTGAGAGGAAAGAACACTACAATGAAACGATCAATCGCCATTGTGGCCAAGCTTTGGGTTGACACCAGCGCGGACAGCGCCATTGTTATTGTCTTCAGTTTACACAAAAAATGTCCAAATGTTCCCTCGATTAGCCAGTTGGACGCTGCGATTGTGACAACTGCTTCTGTAGCACTGGACACTGTGATTAGGATATCGGCAGCCGCTGTGTTCACAACGAAGAAGTTGTTTGGTGTCTTCATGTGGTGGTTGTAATTCTTGTGAACGATGGCTATAATGAGACTGTTGCCCACAAGTGAAGTCACGATAATGATGCAGTAAGCGGCCACTTTGATTCCCATGATATAATCTGGCTCAGAAAATACAGTCGAACTTTCATGGCCAGTTCGATGCAAGTCTATTTGGGTTTTCATTGCTTTTTACTTGGCTCAATATTTCGGACTATTTGACCATTCTTCTTGTACGCTTGCAGGTTTAGTGTTTTATGGAACACCTGTGCGAGAGTTTTATCGGCTTAATTAAGCTGAGAAACGTAAACGTTTTCAAGTTGAACGACAGGTGTCAAATTACTAGTTCAAATCTCTTACAGAAAGGGTTATTACATTTGACCCATTCCCATGATTTATTTCTTGCATCATAGCTTAGCATCTTTTACCTCCTGGTGAATAGCAGTTTTGTTCAATAACATTAGTAGATTTATCTCCTCCAACTGGTAATTAAAGTTTATGAAGCTGTAATTTTTTATTGAGATCCTCTGGTGAATGCCTTAGTTCATGACTTAAGAAAATTAATATCGACTTTCTTAGTTAGATAAAAATATTCAAGAGGTGTCCAATAAAACTCAAGTGTTTGATCCAAGTAAAAGGAAATGAGAAATACTTTCTGTTAATTTACTTGTATTTCACAGATGCAAGCGCCATTGATACAGCGAGACGTATTTAAGCAGCCAGAAATTGATTGAGGTATAAAACGTGGAACGTACGTAGTGCAGCGCTCTCGACAGTACAAATCAGGTCAATGAAGGATTCGTTCCTCGAGTCTTCGTCCCTCCTGCGCATGAGGGTGGATTCGTTGCATCAATTGCCGAAAAATTCCAACGAATAAAAATTACTTTCAAGAACTGAAAAGTAGGCAATCCCGAGTTTCAGTATTCAATAGCTCCATCTTGCCTACTCGCGTAGCCAATCATAGCCTAGGCCTTGTTCGCTCATAGAGCCAATAATATACTAAAACTGATTAAAAGGAAGTTACGAGTCGGTGATGTCGCTGTCGGTGTTTGATTAAGTTGTGGCTTAAGCAAATAAGGTGATTGGGTTCGGCAAGTCATACATAAAGGTTATCGCTAAAACGTATCAAAGTAATTTTCATTTGTCCGTTTTTTCATTTTTCATTTCAATTTCGTTTCGAGTGGGCGTCCGTATTCTAATGAAACGGGCGAATTTTGTTGCCAAGAATAACAAAAATCTTGATAAGAGTTTGTATCGTCATTCTGCAAGATAAGAAAGCTAGTAAAGACGGTTGTTCTTATTCATGTTTTTCAAAACGTCTATTGTAAATGATTTCATTTGTTGGCTTTACAAGATGGCACCTGAACAAACAGCTTATTAAATTCTTCATTGGTGTATTAACAGGTTTTTTTCTGGCCTTATCCTTAAAGAAAGTGCTTTGTGTAGTTTTTCATAGCCTGCTCAGTAAAATACAAAAAAGCGAAATGACAAAAGTAACGTTTCTAAGCCTTCGTCTCCCTCTTAATTGATAGGCAGAGTACTGACTCCACGACGGCCTGGCAATCATAGGTCGACAGAAAGACAACATTCCGAGGGGACTCCCATTTAAAACTGACGGGGATGCTTAGGGTGTTTGGGATGGAAAGTCACTATATCTGCCCATTCAGGTATCGCTTAGGACTGCATGTGCAGAAAATACTGTAACACTGATCACACAGAAATCTCCCTTAGGGGTAAGTTTAAGCTTGATCCACACCCATATTGGTCTCCTTTAGGGGACGAGCATCCCCGTCACTTTTACATGGACATGGGAGTCCCCCCCCCCCGGCCCCTGGGGACAACATATCAAAAAAATGAGCGAAAACAGAGCACCAGCACTTGGCTACTACAATTTTCCAATTCTTCGCCGGCAATTGCTCAAAATAAGACTAGATAGCCAGACTCAAGGTTGTAAAAGAACGTTAACACAACACGGAAAATCAAGTATTCCTATTTGTTGGAGTGCATTGCCTTTCCTACAAATTCTACCCCGAAACACTTAGTTCGCATAAAGAAGACAGACTCGAACAAGGGAAAAGTTACCACTTAGCCCTTATCTTTATGCGCCTTCTTAGTTGGACAAATGTTCTCTTTCGGAGAGAGCTTAATGATTGCCAAAATAATACTCAAAGAGATGAGATATCAACGGCGCTTTAATGGGACTATATTTCACCAGGTTTATCCTAGAATGCAAATATTGCTAAAACGCTATGAGCTTTAAAAGCTAAAGGCACAACAGTTCTCCCCTAGAAAGTTATACATTTTTTCGCCGATAAAATTCTTCGTTGATTAAACTCGGTTCCTTCCTGCTTTTCGGCAAGTCTGGCGCGCAATTTAAAATAGCAGCAATGTAAATCACGTAGCAGAGATCTCTTGCGCGAAGGGCTGGGTTAAGAGTTAAAAGTGTTAACACTCACACGAATGGCTGTTTGTTTATAACTGCTGATCGAGGTTGGTATCTAAGCTGTTAAGAAAAAAAAGTAAAAGAAACGCATCTGTCATGAAACCAATACCATCCAATTCAACATATACATAAAATAACATCTGAGAAGTTTTATTGAAACCTGTATTTGTCTTCTAGAGGGATCCAGTTGACTCGAAGGCGTCACCATCTCGTCTTCTTCTAAAGAAAAGTAAATGACTGTCAAAAAGAGTTTTAGGATGCCAGGATGTGGTAAGATGATTACATATTATACGGAAAAACCCTCGAGTAAGAACCTGGTTTTTAGTAACCTGTTTAGCTAAAATTTCCCAGTTAGGCCCCCTCTACAGATTTCAGATTTTTTGCACTATTTTAAGAGTTACAATCACTGAATTACAATACATAACAAAAGTAAGAAAAAACAAGACAACAAATCACATAAATCAACAAAGGTGAAATATGCTCAGTGACCAAAGGAGCTTAGGCTTTCGAGTTGGTCACTACCACCTGCAAATAACTCGCGGCGTACGTAAACATTTACATAAGAACTACAAGTAACGTATAACGGAGAAAGGAAGATTTAAAGTGCATTAAGTTTTACAATTTTATATAAAAACAACAGAAATGATTATTGATAGTGAGAGCACAGTAACAGCGTAGTCTGAAATCGTCAAATTTTGTATTTGTACGAATTTTTTTATTTATACTTAGTGCGATACTCTACTGGTGACATGTTTTCAATTATCGCGGACATTCTGATGCAAATGATAGGGAAAATATATAGAGAAGTGTACGTACGGCTGTAACGCTCTTTTTGGATTGGAGTAGAACTTTTCTGCGTCTCTCCTTGCGATGACGATGGAGTTGTGTACTGTGATCTGTCACACAGTCTACTGTTACTGGGTGTGCTTGATCTGAGTGAAGGAATTAAGAAACCGTCAAATAAACATTTAAAAGCCTTAGGTTTACCATGAAAATGAATTTAAGAGACTCTTTCCGCCGGCCCAAAACCGATACTGATTTCAGGCAACTGAAGACATCATAACGACACTAACAATACCAAGTAGGTTCTCTTAAAAGAAAACCAAACCAAAAACAAACCATTAATTTACAACGCGGTACGCAAATGTATATAGCTGAGGCCAAGAGACCAAAAAGGTGCTCAGTCATGAGTAAGCCTATTTATTCTGTGTTGTTAAGAAATTGCAAAATTGTTTCTTTGCTAATAGTCTGTCCTTATTTTTAGGACAAACTGCAGAACCAAGTCAAACAGTCAAACGCGATCAGATGTAGAGCCGCAACAAAACGTAACACATGTGTTACCATTAAAACACGCGGCGGCTTCATAACATTTGAGGCATAATACTCAGTTTTGTTCAAAAGAGTGTCACATTGAGAACTGACCTAGTCGACAAAGTAGGCGATCCCATAGACATAGGGGAAGAGGAAACCCCTGCCGCTCCAAGTCCAGATGGGGTGGTTGCTTCATGGCTTCCAGGTGTTTTGGCTGTTCGTATGACGTAAGGTGTCCTTCAAAACATAGGGAAAAATACTTTATCTCAACAGTTTCCTCTTATTGTGATAAGAAAAATGCCTTCTTGATTTGGCTCTTGAGTTACTTGAGCGCATACTGGTCACCACTCAGTTTGTTTCCTGGTATTCGTTGACTTTGTTTGACTGTTTTTGAAAACAAGTATTTTCTGAAAAGACGCCTAACCTGGCCAGCAAACATAGATTTCAATTCATGAATTACATTTCTTTATTATATGGCTGCAATAGTACGCGCGCTCTGATTGGCTGCTAAGCGGGCATTAGTTTCTTGTAACGACGGGGCATTACTACAATTACCTAGGTGTTCAAGGCATATACAATCTGTGTTTAACTTGATAGTGGACATCCTTATGGACATCCATGTTATGGTCAATTGACAGCTGTCAAAAAGGGTATCCGCTGACCAGTGTCACATGACTGTATCACGTACCTATCTCAGTACTGTAGCAGCCGCTCGTAAGATGTCTCCTCATTGGTCGCAGAAAACAATTACACAGCATTGTTTATCATTATTTTCATTTTACTGTTAGGGTTGCAAACTGATTGGCTTTTAGTGTTAGGAGAGCTGCTACCACCTATCTGGGGCTTGTTGTTTTCATGTACTCATTGCATCGAAAGCCGGCCGGAGAAACTTAGTGAATTCAAAGAAATGAAAATTTGTACCTTAGCACTGTACCAGGTGTTCCTCCAGCGGAACCTGGGCGCGATAAAAGCTGCTTATTTGGCGAAGGTGTTCCTCTCACGGTTCCTAGAATAGAGTAATTGACACTTGTTAGTTCCAAAGTTCCAAAATACATATCTGCTGGCTTAACGAACTGGCAGAAATATAGGGTATAGTACCGCCTCTTTCTTTCCGAAGAGTTAATGTAGTTAACAAAACAAACCTTGTACCTTCCATCACATTACAAACACTATGAAAACTCTAGGTTTTTTCCGGATATAAATATCCTATGAATCCCGCCTGGTATGTACGATACCCCACCATGAAAGCACTGGTCAGATTTTTTGGCAGGCGACCAGCTGTGACCACTAGAACAGGGTTATTCCATTTCTGTTTTTTTAATCACTCTACATTCGGACATCCTCAAGTCTTGTACGTATTGTTCTCTTAATCTGAGAAGTTGCTTATCCGTGTTCCTGACCTGTTTGGGGGAGAGTACGTGATATATACATATAAAACAAGCAATTTTTGTGTCTATGAATCTTTGATCATCATGGGAAACAAAAAAAGAGTACGTACCCATATAGCCATTATAAGGTGGTGTCCGAACAGACAACCGAGTAGGGCCTGCAGGAGTACATGGCATATGGTTCTAAAGACACGAAACATGTTGTCAGACGGACGAGAGTGTTTTATACTTGTTGACTTCAACTTATAAAGAGTGAAGGTAAATTTTTGCAAATAAACTAATTCCTTTATACCTGCCACTGGTGTAACCCCTTACTGTCCCTTTGCGAGCTGTAAAAAATTAAAAAGAATTAGTCAGCAGTACGATTCGTTCCAGCATTGCGCATAACGCACTAGCTGTATTTACTTATCGACGCAAGACTTCGTCTCAGAGTACTCACGTAGTATTCTACTTTACTTTTGTCTCGACCCAATCTCAAGTTAGATATCGAGCAACTTGCAGGGACGGATTCCGGAGGCGGGGGCGGAGGTAGACTGTTCGCAGTCCCCTATTTTTTCGTGAGATCGTTCAGATATACCGCGTCTTACCGTCACGGCTATAACGCAAAGCGCTCGATCTCGATGATCTTACGGAAGAATAGAGAACTGTGAACAGTCTAGGCTAGAGCGGAGGTGGTTTAGAACAGCCCACCAAGAAATATGACACGTGGAAAAGCAAAGGGAAATACGTGGGTCCCTCAAAAATATAGAAATACGTGGGTCGCTAAAACCTTGCGAAGCCAACCAGCCTTCGCCCTTCCTAATTCGCCGTGTTCTGGGACAAACGTAGGACAACTTAAAATAAATTAACGGACAGTTTGGCGGTCGATTGGTATCATCCGCTCTCCCCACCCCCCACTCATTAAAAAAACCTGATCCGCCCCTGACTTGCTATGTACATTTTAAAAATACAGGCGAAGAGCTACCTCGCCTATATTTGTCAATTGTGTTTATTGGGTTTAAGCCCATTAAGCACAGGGCTAGGGTTCTCAAGCCAAGTCACAGATAACAATGACTCACATCCCTGTAATCAGTCAGTCTAAACGTCCCTAGCCGATCAGAGTTGTCTGATGTTGGTCCTTTTGCTATATAACGGTATTAGAATTGAAGACCAACGGTTCAGCCAACTAAAACAAGTTTTTCTTTCTTCTATTGTAGTAACTAGTACTTTCCTAAACGGCGGCCAAAGACCTCTTGATCTATTGTAGCAGCAATTATTTTTACTAGCCTGAATTTCAGACATCCCTTCGAGTCGCATACTCACGACTGTATGCGACTCGAAGGGGTGAAATTCCGGCCATGATTTTACCTGTTTGGTGTAGTCCTTCCATAAGGTGAGACAGCTGAGTACTGGCTGCTGGTCGGAGATGGGGTGTGTCCTGCAATGATTTTAAGTATTCAGGAGTACTTTTTCAGTTGATATTCATTATATTCTGGCTTTTATATAACGATTGCCAAGGTTTACAAAGCTGGGAGGATGTTAACAACGTTTTGCGCACTGAGGATACAATAATTAAGAAATCTCCTGACCTCTTTTCACGGGAGTAGCTCCTGGTGAGTTTCGATGATTATGTGGAGTGCTCGGCCGGCTTGTATTACCAGCTAGAAGTCTTTTCAAGTGACAGTTCTCTTCCTGCAGGGCTGCAACTTCCCTATGAGCATACGATTCATTAAAGACGGTCAACAAATTAACATTAGCGTTCTCATTGTATTACATAACATTCAATTAAGTAATTACTCTTAATTATCCCTGAACACACTAGCAGCGATAATTAAAGTAGACAACATCGCAATATTGGCAGATGCCAAATTAATGACCAGCTCCCAGTTGGCTTGCTATATTAGTTGGTTAGAGCGCTGCACCGGTGTCATAGAGATCAGGGTTCGAATCCTGGCAAGAATGATTCTATTTTCTAGCTTTCTTTTCGAAACTGCATAAGTTGAGTCTTTAACTGCTATGATCTTCTTTTCATTTATTTCGTCACTCCGCGATTCAAGTATATATTATGAAATTCATTTATTCATCATTTTCATGTTGATAAATTAAAGTAGATAACATCGCAAAATGGGCAGATGCAAACCTTATAGGTTAAACCTAAAGAAAATCCCTATAACGTCTTTCTAGGAGGCTACAGGTGTATGAGAGCTGATAGGACACACTTGCGCGCACCACTTATCTCTTCCGTCAAAATTCTCAAGCGCCTACTCAGGCTAGGCTCTTGACTGCACTTTCCTAAGGTTCCTCTGTCTCCTGTTATATAATTTTTTGAAAATTTAAAGAGAACCATAAAGACACGTGATCGTACCGTTCAAGTTCTTGTAATCTCGACATCTGCCGCTGGAGTTTCTCCGCTGCCAGAACCTTTCACAGGTCATAAAGAACAACAGTCAGTCTTAATTATTTGGGTGGTTCAAGCATATCGTCAGAGAAAGATTTACGTTGAAGGGAAAACATCAAATTGTCAACTAGCCTTTTTATTCGATCTTTGAACCGTGTGATAATGACGTTGTGTTTTAAAATTAATATGATGATGATGATGACGATTATGACAATGATGATGATGATGATGATGATGATGATGATGATGATGATTGTGGCGATGACGGTTATGATTGTCTTGAGTACACTTACCCTTTTATCATTATTTGCTGCCAGGCGTTGTCGGTGACTCTTCTGAAACTCAATAACCTATAACATAAAAATTAGCTGAGACGTATCGAAATTTAGCAAGAGCGAAAGACCAAAAGACCTAAAAAAGCTGTTCAAAAAACTGAAACTATAATCCGGTAATAAGAAGTTACTAGTGTTAATTAGAATACTAGTTTCTTTTATTTTGTTTTTTTTGTTTATTTATTTATTTACTGATTCATCCCGTTATAAATGAGTGTTAAAAGGAATAGTCTGTCTTCCCTCTCAACTATCATAGTGCATTGATTTCTTCCGTAAACTAACTAAGGATGACAACTCCAATAACCAGTCGTCTAATCATAGAACAATTTTGGAACATGATTATGTAACACTTTAGGAAGCAACTCAGGTGGATTTAAAAGAAACACTAAAAATTTTCCACTCACCTGTGACAATTGAGAATGATATTTCTTGGATAAAACAGCAGGGTCGGTAAAATACATCTCAACTTCGGGTTTCATCTAAGTGTATTAAAATTAAATTCGACGTTATTTTGTTTAGCGTAGTTATTATTGCATGTTCCGCAGGGGCACCCTAACAAGATTAATTTGACAAAATGAACTAATACCCAGGATGAACCATAAATTTCGAGACTTAAGGAAGCCATTGTAAGCGTTTTCTGGGAAGGCTGAGACACAGGAGCTGAGAATTATTTCTCTTGTATCTCACTCACACAAGCCAGAAAGAATGAGCGGATTGGAAATTACCCACACCTAGCAGGGCATTCTTATAGTTTTCCAGCAGAAAAAAAAAAAGAATGAAAAAATAGCGGATTAGAGGCAGTCTTAGAACTTGCTAGAATTTTAATTACCAGGTTTTATAGAGAGATCTCGTTCTTATAAGCATTAGCAAAATGACTGCTGGATGCGATTATCTTTTTTCCAGGAGCGGTTAAAAAAATATTGTTCTCAGCCAGCTGCACTTTAGATACCCTTGAGGAACAAATCCCTCGGGTGCCCCAGTGTTCTGAAAGGACATGTCCACAAAAACTCCCTAAACTAGCCAAAAATTTGCCTTACCTGAGATGACAAAAGGATTGAGTTACAGGTTCTCTTACACAAGAAGCAATGGTCTGGATTTGCTGCAGATCAAAAGCAACACACCAGGAAGTTACACCTCCCTAATATAAAACGCATGCATTGAGCAAACGTTTGCTCTACGAGGACTGATACTATTCCAGTGGAAAAGGGAGGAACTTTCAGAGGAACTTGTTGAAGGCGATTAAAAGGGACTGTAAAATAAAGAGCTTACGGAATTGTAATTAAAAACTCTAAGCAAACTGTCTCTATGGATCTATAATCTGATGTTCTTAGGGCTTGCTTGTACGGTGAGTGACTATCATCCTATTGAACTAATAAACGGGTTTTGTTGATAAGCTTATAATACATAATATAAAAGCTTAAAAATTACATTGCGCTCTGTAAAAAACACCCGCCGTCTAAGTGCAAAATTTAAAGCCCTGACAACTTACATGGACCAAGGGACAAATGCCGACAAACATAGCTCAAACGAATTTTTAATTTCAGTGTATCGCACCGTAGAAAAGTGGTCATAAAGATCCCTTTGCTTATTTCCATTATTCTTAATAATTTACTTACCTCGAACACAGTCTTCACAATATATATGGCCACAGTTCGTCAAAGAAAACCTCTTTCCTCCTCCAGGTCGAACAAAGCAGTTGTTACAGTGGACCCAGTCTGCCATCCTTTTCACTTGATTCCAACATTAGGATGTACAAACAATGTTTTTTTTCGCTTCAAGCAACGTTTTCCATTCTTTTCTCCTCACAATGATCAACATGTAAAATGCCGAAAAGAAACGCGGGACATATCCCTGCTATGTAGTCTTGTCAGTCATAACATACAGCAAAAAAAGAGATCAGAATTTAAACACACAAACTTTTGAATTTTGTGGAAATTGAATATTAAGCTTATTTTCGTCTATCCAAATAAAATGACAGCAAGATGACTGCTGACTGCTTTGACTAAGAGTTTTAAAAAATTGGCGGGAAAAGTGGCGCACCCGCGTTTTTTTGCAATTTCTTTCTAGGGTGGGGACCTACGGGAGTAACATTCGTTCAATGTTTGCAATTGAATATTTTGTAATATGAAATTAATCATAGTACAGTTGAAAGTGAACATAATCTTCGCAGTAGAATGAACAACCTGACCAGTTGAAAAAGAACCTGAAAACGTCAGACTTTCCCGGGAATCGAACCAAATGCAACGCACAGCAGGCCAGTAGGGAATATCTTATGGTGGAAAAGACATGAAATGACATGAAAGGGTCCTGTAATTATCTCATAAATAGCAAAAAATAAAAAATAAAATCGAAAAAGGAAAATAAAATAACACTAAGAAATCTTTTCAGTCTTGTAAGTCGATGATTTTTACAGATTTTGATTTTTAAATCTTAGATTTCTTAGTGTTATTTTATTTTCCTTTTTCGATTTTCTTCTTTATTTTTTAGCTCTTTATGAGATAATTACAGGACCCTTTTGATAACAGTTCTTTTTATCAGAACTGATAGGTTATCCTGTATAAATATTCGCGTTATTATTGTTATCATTATTATTAAATGAATCATATATTTTCAACCGCGGATAAAGATATGAATGTGAACGTGACCTTGACCGCAGAATGAACAACCGAAGTGGCCAAGCCTGGATTTTTCAACACAAACACAAGGTGAGTTCTTTTCTATTTCTACTTTTCAAGAAAAAAAAATGAATTTTTAAGAATTTTTTTTGTTTATTTTCATACATTCTCTTATAAATTGTAATCATCAAAATTCCAATGAACTCCCATAGACTCTGGGCTGACTGCATGTTATCCTTTGAACCTTGTTTCAAAATGTACTAGCTAAGCCAATAATATTGCAGTTTTGGGCAACAAGGAATGTCAAGTGACTGTTCAGACTGTAAAATACCGTTGCTTATGTCTTTAATACCATTTCCCTCAGTGGTACTTGTTACTTAAAATAAATAGGCTAGGCCATGTATTCCTTTGAGATTTACAGATGTACAGAATATGGTATCAGCTGTAAAATAGAATAATTTTTTTTCTCACAATTTTAACAAATAATGCACATACACTGCATGTGCCGGGCTTGCAAAATAATAATAATATGGTGGAAAAAAATTTATGAAAGCAAATCACTAAAAACACAAAGCAGCCTTTCATGCAAGATCCATTGCCCCTGTTCTAGGTAGATATTGTTATCACAATTACTTCTACAAATATTCAAATGAAGAAAAAAAAAGTCCTGATACACTATGAAGGCAGATCCATGTCACAAAATAAAAACGAGAACAAAGACAGGAAACGCTCCAAGCATCATCAATTTTGCAGTAAACACTTTGATACCATTAATTTTCTATTTTAAATGTACCAGTCTAAAAAAATACGGGACCGGACTTAATCTGCAAACTTTGGAGAAAAGTAAAGTTTTATGATATTGCAATTAATAATACAATGTTTTCTGGTTAGTTCCCTATGGAGACATGTGTATGTAGGTTTTGCTGCTGGAATATGTGCAGAATTATGCAATCTTGGTTGAATTTCACTAATTAAAGTTCAGGACTCGTTTTAGTGAGAAAGTTTTAATAAGCACTCAGCTTTCAGTTATTTCTTTTTTGTGACTCTGTTTTTCCATTTTCTTTCTAAAAAAATTTGTATTTCTTTTTGGCAAGGTCTCACATGGCACGCTTGTTTAAGTGTTGAGGAGCTATGGATTTGCCAAGGTGGAGTAAAAATAAAAATAGTAATAATTATATCAGATTGTGGAATATAACAATCAGGAAAATGCCAGATAAAGTTGAACCTCATGTAACTCTCTGGAATCTGGAAAAGTCAGAAAAGGGTCTTTTTATAGAATGTGTTCACTTAAGGGAGATGTTTGTATATCATGGACAATGCCAGGATAATGTTTGCTTTAATTAATACAGCAGCTACAATCAGAGGCAAAATTGAAATAATTTTCCCTCAAGGGATTTTTTTCTAGCTTTTTTGCTGACAATAATTATCTACTTTAAAATGGGAAAATGTAGGTTTAAATCCCACACCTGCTCTGACCAGTAAAAACCATTGTTACTCCACTATTCAAGCTACAGTACTGGGCCCGGTTCCTGAAAGGCCGATTAGTGCTCATCCGGGATTAAAATTTTGTTCCACTTTTTGTATTTACCTTCCTATGCATTGCCTTAAGCAACATTTTGTGTTATCATTTCTTTTTTTCGAAGTAAAGGCACAAAAGTATTTTGTAAGCTCGAGGAACATGTTCTTGGATGAGAAAACCGTGCTTAAAATTGGCTTAATCCTGGGTTACACTCAACCATCTTTCCAGGAACTGGGCCCTGTACTTTAGCAAAGAAAACTAAAACCCCAACTTGAGGTGAGGGGAAGACTGATTTGTTCTCCAAAATACATGTCCATTAATTGTTAGGTTGGTGGTATTTTAATTTTTAAATTAGTCAGTTCCCTATTAGTAGGCATTAACAGGCCAGCTAGAAGACTACATGTACATGTACATCGTAGACACTTAAATAAAGTTCATCATAATCATCATCATCATCATCATTTTTCCACCAGTTTTTTGCAAGTTGTAGATGTTATGTGACTGAAGAGGGCCTTCTGTAGTAAAATAAGTCCACAAAACTAACTACAAGTCTTGCCTCTCTTCATTGACAGGCTGGTCACTCTACTTCAATGTTACAATGTACATGTGATTGTGCAACTGTAAGTATGGG